AAAAAAAATACATTTTAGATAAGAAGTATCTATATTATTTTTCGATGTTTCTCGCTAAACTTCAATGAATTGAAGAGAAGCATAGAAAAAAAAAGATTCATATATAATAATTTATAAATCAATGGCTTATTGTCGAGTTGGTTTGTTATTTAAAGATTTAATTAAATAAAAATATCAAAGGCAAAGATTAAATCGACTCTAACTCATTTATAGGAAAGTAAAACGAACTATGACGATAGAAATTCATATCACTCTAAATAAAATAGGTGCTCTACTGAACTCCCAAAAAAGGTTTCGTCGTGACGAAAAAGTCTCCAGACATGTTCAAAGTTTGAAAAACGCAATAAAAATTTCTACGAAACCATTAAAGGATCTTCCCGTGTGTCGGGGGAAAGAACCTTCACCTACGAAACCTTTTTTTAAGTTCAGGACACCAAAAAAAGGTTTTGTGGGAAAATACGAAACTTTTAGAGTTTGATTTGAAACCTTAATAGTTTCGTACTAAACCCTAATGTTCTTGTGTAGTTTAATACGAAACCATAAAAGTTTCGTATTTTCCCACGAAACCTTTTTTTGGTGTCCTGAACTTAAAAAAAGGTTTCGTAGGTGAAGGTTCTTCCCCCCGACACACGGGAAGATCCTTTAATGGTTTCGTAGAGTTTTTTATTGCGTTTTTCAAACTTTGAACATGTTTGGAGACTTTTTCGTCACGACGAAACCTTTTTTGGGAGTTCAGTAGAGCACCTATTTTATTTAGAGTGATGATAATTCCAATTAAAGAATTGATTCTCACCATGAGTCATAAGCCGTATTGATGAAGCTTCTTTTAAAAGTAACATTATCACCATTGGGCACAGCCCCTCGAGAAAATCGTGCACACAGCCAGCAGGTAAAGATGTGCTTGAATGAAAGCCAATAAGATTATGTAAAGGACTTTCACCAACTACACCCATGATAGGAGATTCATTTGGATCATTTAAAATCTGCTGAACTATTGAATCATGATCAAATATCGTTCGACTTTGAATGAGAGTATCCTCAAATAAACCAAAAAGATTCTGATATATTTCAAATATGTCACACTATTTTATCGCTATTATTAAACTAGATTAATCATGATAATATCTATCATGGTGTACTACATATTAAAAAACATAAATGTATTAGTTTCAACTACTACAAATATTCAAAATCCACTCAAAGAAACAATTAATTTTGGTTTCTCTCAAACCGATTCAATAATTTCTTAGTCAATAGAAGTGTTTTCGTATTCATATTTATGATGAAAATTATTACCTTCAGAATTTTACTTTCACAAATAGCAACAAGCTGTATAAAATCAAGCTTTGATCTGTATTTATCTGGTATATCTTCAAGAGTGAAGTAAATCATGCTCATCTTATGCCTATCACGTTTCGATCCCAATGGATTCGTCAATCCAATATCGTCGAGATAAAGTTGAATTAGTAAATAATCATTATCTAATGCTAAACCATGATGACTTTCTCTAATTGAGAACATAAGATCATTATCCAAATTTGTTAATGTTTGTTGTTTATGAATATTTCCAAGAATTTCATGACACAATTGCTGTGAACTGAGTATTAACGATAAACTATTTTCAATTGGGATAAAATAACCAGAATCAGAATCACCACCAGCAGATAAAATAGGAATTTCTTGTACTGAAGTAAAGTTAAAATATTCTTCGCAATATTTAGTAAACTGGTATTCGTTTTTCGTTATAGAATCAATTCCATTACAAACATCATCAAATAAGAGTTTTAATTGATTAAAATCTATAAATTTTCGAAGTTCATTTCGAGAAATAGATGATGGTGGAAATAAATTGCTATCTTCAGCAAAATCAAATACTTTTTTTTCTAATAATATTTGAATATTATTAATTAATGAAGTAATATATGTAGAAATGACATTTGTCACATTTTTTGGTAATAAAAACTCTTCACGTAGTTGTAAAATGAATAATGCATATGATTTCTTAATGTCTTTTATCGAATTCATAGTTTCATTACGATTACTTGAAAAATATGATGATGGATCATTATCATTTGATAAACTTGAATCTGCTTCATAATCTATATAATCTGATTCGTTATTCTCGTCGTCCTTCATAAAATCAGTTTCAGTTGCAAAATCGCCATTTGTTTTCTGTAGATTATCAATAGGAACCGTATATATATTATTGTTTTCTTTTTCTGATGAACGAAGTTCCATTGAATGCTTCCGATATATATGTGATTTATATGTAGAGTATTTTTTGTAAAGTACACCACACGTATCATGTAAATTACATGTAATTACAAATCCTGGATCGTTTTGATGGTAAAGCGTTATATGTCGAAACATTTTAAAAAAAGTTGAAAAATCTCTATTCGTTGAACAAAGTGGACAAATAAATGACGACATGAAATGTTGACGTTAAATGCTTGAAGTTGAAGTAAAAATTGTCTTTTATTTATATATATTAACTATATAAGTAGTTTTTTCCTATTTACTTATTTATTTAAAAGTTATTTTTCAAAGACGTGATAAAAACAAAGACGCAATAACTAATATAAACCAATGAAATACAAATACAAACATTCAAAATTATTCATTTCTTTTCTTTCATGTTAAACACGCGCTTCTACATTACTAGAGAAAAACAAAGAAAGAATTGTAAGATAAAAGATAAACAAACGCAATTAAATGTTTATATCGTTAAATGCCGATTTCTGAAGCATTAAACGAAATATAAGATGCAATGAAGTATTCTGAACTAGATTGAACTAACGAAAAAAACAACAACACATTTGTCTAATTAATAGAAACAGACTGACCTTCAATAGTACGTGATGAAATTGCATCATCATTAATGAAAGTTTTACACCACTGAATAACTTGTTCACATGACCAATCCATAGTTTAATAATAATAAAAAATGAGACGAAGGAAACGATGTGATAAGAAAGACGATTTGATATCGGTAAATTATCTAAAATTTTACCAAACACATCTCGATAAATATTCACAGAAAACATGACTCCTAGAAAATAAAAAGACACTTGTACAGAAAAGAATATCGTCGAAGTTTCTTTTCTTTATTCGTTATATTAAACGGTGATTATTGTATTGCCACTGTGTGTTTTATCTAATCGTAAAATAATTCAATAGATGGTGACAGTACCTCGTAATATTTCAACTCTTTACAGAACATTACTCGATAAGGGCTTTTAGGTACAACTTCACATAAAATCGAACACTCTCAAGTAATTCAGACTATTTCTTATGAACGAAATTTTCCAGTGAATGCTTATAGTTGGTATTCTATTTAGTTTTTTTAATATATCCTCATATATCTAACAATCACATATGCGACGATACTTGAAGCGTAAAAGAAAGCATGAAACTATATAGGCTTCAACGAAATTTCTAGTTAATTTAGATAATATTGCATAAAATAATCTGTAATATTATATGCAAAGTAGATGCATGAACGATACAACGAGCAACGAAATTCTTATAATTTCTTTTACTCTTCATATATTAGATATATATGCTGTTATAAATTATCTAATATAGCAATATCTAAATTAGTTAGAAATATTCTCAAAATTACTATAATTTGTTTTTTTTCTTCTTCCTTCGTAGATCTTACATATGTCTGATGTTATGAACTATTTTGTTGTACTAATATTTAAAACTAACTCGAAGTTTTTATAATTTCTGTTTTTTCTACTCTTCGTATCTCTTACATATATATGTAAGAGATACAAAGAGTAAAAAAAGAAATTATACAAAATTCCGAGGAAATTTTGAGTTAATTTAAATATTATTAGATAATATAATATATTTATTCTATTCTTAGGCGGTAAAGGAAGAGTAGAAAAAAAGCAATTTATAGAAATTTCCTCTAAATCTCTATATTTTATTCTTACTTTGGAATCTCCCTCCTTCTCTTATACATATCATTTTATACATTGTACATATGAAATTGACTCGAAATTTTTATATCTTATTCTTATTTCTCACCCTACCTCTGTTTAATATGTATATCATATTATACATTAAATGTGTGAAATTTTCTAGAAGCTTTTGAGATTTGTTCGTTAAGTGGTGGTGCTTTTAGTATTATTAAAATTGGTGTTGTTGATGGAAAATTAGAAGTTTCTGATTTACTAAAAGTTACTCTCAGTCGAAATCTAAGCATACCCTTTTTTAGTGAAAAGTATAAGAATAAACCCTTTGCAATGAGAAAGTACAAGAATAAACCCTTTCACGAAGAACAATAAACCCATTGCAGCATAATAGGTATAAAACACAATTCTTCGCGTACAGTAACAAACCCTTTTGATTAAGACGTAGATTGATCGACCTTTAAAGGGACAGTAATAAACCTGTTGAGAGAAAACCAAGGGGGAAACGGCGGATTTTTGGACTTCAATGGACTTTAAACTACTTGACTGATACTTAAACGATATTTTTCAGCTATTTTATAGGTATTTCATTGATACTTTATAATAATTTAGTGGTATTTAGTAATACTGTGGGCTACTTAGATGATACTTTCACGTACTTAGATCTACTTAGATCTACTTAGATCTACTTAGATCCATCTTGAAAGTACTAGCAGGTACTTATGACTATTTTGGCCTACTCGAAGCTACTTGTGACTACTTTGGGCTACTTCGCACTACTTCGAAGTACTTAGAACAACTTGAAATTACGTGAAGTTTAATTCCTCATAATATATATATAATCATTATTTTGAATTTCTAGCATTTTAATTATTTATATAATCTACGAAATACGATATAATGTCGATTTTTTCCTTAAACCAAGGGGGAAAACGGCGGATTTTTGGACTTGAATGGACTTTAAAGGACTTTTGAAGTACTTGGAAGTACTTAAGAGATACTTGATTGTACGTCAAAAGTATTTGATGATACTTCTGAGATACTTGGATGTACTTCAGATCTACTTGATGGTACTTCAGATCTACTTGGCTGTACTTCAAAATTACTTTGGTTGTACTTTATAGACACTTGGTTGTATTTTAAAAGTATTTGAAAGTACTTTTGAACTACTTTTAATGTACTTGGCGGTACTTCTACATACTTGAGTGTACTTAAAGTCACTTGAAGTTATTTTCGTATTTTCACGTACTTTTTACGCATAAAGTCTGCCGTTTCCCCCTTGGAGAAAACGTACAAAGATGTATCCTTGTCCGCTGAATGGTAGGCTGCGTAACGGAGACGTAGAATATTCTTTCATGAAAAGTAGAAGAATAAATCCATTTAGATAGACAGTAGCATGATAAACGCAAAAGAGAATAATAAAATACCCTTACTCGAGAGGCGTACAATAATCTATCAATTTTGATTGAACGAAGTACTCTCATCTTGGTATCATGGAATAATAAACCCTTATGTCACTTTTATATACCCCTTTAATTTTGATAAACTTTTAGTTCTATCAACGATTTGAATACTAAACCTTTAAAGGGTAGCTAACACCTGTATATACCCTTAAAGGGTTTATTTACAAAATTCTTAAGGGCAAGGGTTGATTATCATGCGGATTTTTTTATCAGTGTAGACCGTAGTAGACCCTTGTAGACCCTGACAGACCCTGTAGACCCTGATGGACCCTGATAGAACCTGTAGACCCTGATGGACCCTGATATAACCTGTAGACCCTGATGGACCCTGATAGACCCTGATGGACCTTGATAGACCCTGATAGACTCTGATAGACCCTGATAGACCCTAGTAAACTCCAGCAGACCCTGATAGACCCTG